AAAATTTTATTTAATTATTTTTTAATAATGTTTACAAGTTTGTACACACAAAAACAAGAAATGTAATTCATTTATTTTGTTAAATTCCATTAAATGTTCAAATGGAAATATTGGAAAAAAAGTGAATTAACAATACACAATTTATATATTTTTCACCGTGAAAAAATATTTAATTAATTAGTTTTCTAGAATTGTCTCAGTTAAATTTCTAACTCAGAATGAATCAATATCAAGATTAAATTCAATCATTTAAGTTGAATGAACTGAAATAAACATATTCATTCATATGCAATGATATCAACTAAACTCATTAAAATATTCTTTATATGGATTAAAATCAGATTGCTTGCCATTATAACCTGATTCACATTAACAGTAACAAAATTAAAATGAAAAATGATGATTCATCTAGAATTTTTCCATTTTTTAATATATAAAATTTATGACATGAGAAATAAGTTATTAGAGATTATATGTTATAATGCTTATCAAAAATGCATATATCAAATATAGAAACCTTAATATTCACAAATATATTTACCACTTATATCCGAAGTTCTTCAGACATTTACAATATTCAAACAATACAATAATGAGATCGTATAAATAATTTTAATATTAAAACTTTCATTTTATATTTTATTAATTTAAAGTGTTTTAAAACTATTCATTATATATCTCTTGTTTTTGTTACAAAGTTAAAAAAAATTTAAGTGAAATCATTTAAAAGTTAAAAAACTTTCCAAGTGTTTAAATATTTTAAATTTTGAAAAATATTTTCACTGTAAAAATGTAAAATAGTTGTATAGTACAAGAATGAAACAAAACTAATTTTATATTCTGCACACAGATGTCAAATTATATTGAAATCAGTATCAATGACAACCAAATGTCTCTGAAAACAGTTTTCCTGCAAATGGAAATATATATGATTTTATCATATCTAATTTAACGCTATGATATGCAATTTCTTCATGCAATATAAGATTTAAAAATTTTTTCTTGCATAATACAATACTTTCCTCATAAATTTTTGGTTTACAGGTTTAAAAATTTCTTCTTCTAATCTCAATGATTATAAATTTGCTGCTAATTCATATTTTAATCTAAAATGATTGATTATGTATAAATTATTACTTCTATAAACTCTTATTACTTCTTAGAATAAAACTGATAAACAAAACAGAAATATTTTGAAACTTGACGATTCAGAAAGATTTTAAAATATTTAGTGGATGTAAGAGATTGGCATTTTCAATGTACAATTTATAAAATTTTTAAAGGTGAATGATCATCTGGTTTATGTATGACTGAATTACAAAAGTATCTCATTACACTATTAAGAAGCAAGTGATACAAAGATCTTACAAAGTATTACTACTATTGAAGTGGAAAAGGAATTGCACAGGCTATGTGTATTGTGTGAAACAGGATGGCCCAACCTTCTGTCTTACTAGGATGGCCAATTACTTATCTTTGAGAGTTTACTAATATGTGAACACTCCTCAACTCTCCTCTGATTGCTGTCAGATCTCCTGACACCACTTAGTCAAAGGTTGCATACTAAAACACAAAAGTAAACTTGTGTTACCAGGATTTAAGGAGAGTTTAATTAAATTAATATGAGCATTTCATGGTAACATTACGTGATTTGCATGCATTATGTGGGCAGATGATGGACATTCAAACTATCATTTTGGGAGGAACTAAGTGTACTTCCCCCTAAGTCTAAGGAAGTCAAAGACTGATAATTTTTCCATCGAGTTTAAACTTTAAAATATTTTTAAAAATGTTTCTCCTGAATTCCAGATTCTTACATTTGTAATAATTTTTTTGAATCTCTTTAAAACATGTATGAAACATTAAAAAGACACCACTAAGCAACTCTCCGCTGAATTTCTATTTCAGGAATCTAGGTATGTTTATTGTAAGCATTCTTAAAGATTGGGTACATTGCCTGGTAAGTAGCTTTAATATAGATATATAAAGCACACCAATTGGCTTGCTTATCTAGCTGTATTAAAGCTACTTTATCAGGCAATGCACCCATTGCTGTCGAGCAGCACTAAAAGCAGAAGGTAAGCAAACAAAACAAAAGAAAAAAGCATTAATAAAAAGCAAAACAAAATGGCTGCTGACCATGCTGGCCTCTGTGCAAGTCTGTTGGCAAAAATCTGCCCAATTTAGACATCACACATGATTACAAGGTTACACATATTAATCAATTTAGTAGTTGGTATAAAATCAAACTTCTAGCTTTACAAAATTGATGATTTTCAGCATACATAAGTATCATAGGGGAAAAAAACTATCCTTGATTGGGATAATTTTATTTCTGCAGAGCTGAAGATATAAAAGGTAAAGGGAGAATTTCCCCTCATTCCCCTTTAAATCACACTCTAGGTATTGTAATTCATTATTTGAGCAATTAGATATTAAGTTTTTAGTCTTTTAAGGATATCTTTGAATAATTATCTTAAGAAAGCATCAATGTTTTTAAAATTCGTTTTGTTTTAAATTTTAAAACAATTTTAAAAGTAAATAAAATTAAAGATTTAACATTTTTATATTTAAAATATCATTAAATTATTTGAAATTTTTAACATATCAAAATATTAATGTGCTAATAACTGAAGTTTTTAACTATCTAAAGAAGCCTTTAACATAATAAGATGAAACATTATCAAATTCACTAAATGCAATAATTGTTCCATACCACAAGCTAAGGAAACATTAGATTATTGAGTGTTATATTAACATTTAAAAAAACTGATTCAAAGAAATATGTAGTTTCAAGCAAGTATTTGTTATCTTTTATTTATTTTCAATATTACAACGTTCATTTACAAAGTTATAATAATAAAAAAAAAAAAGGAGAAAACTGTAAAAATCTTACTATTCATAGTATATAAAATTCTACAAATTAATTCTGAAAATATTACAAATAAATAACAGAAATACTTGGTTTAAATTATACTATAAATCATAAATGATGTTAATTTTTCAAATTTCTTTCATCAAATTAAGATGTAAAGTAGTATTCACATTGTACAGTACTGTACATATGTATATAGGTACTGTACATTAAAAGGCTGCATTATAAAGGTTTTTGTGTCGATGCTTGAATAATAGGTACAGTACGTATAATTTTAAAATTTTTTAAATAGAAATTGAATTATATTAATCATAATTTAACATGAAATAACAGTTTTATAGTAATAAAATTTATTTTAAAAAATTATTATTTTAAATACTCAAATTTTCTTTAAATTAATAAAAGTTAATTAATTGTACAGTAGACCCCCTATAACACTGTTGATAATTCTGTTTTATATGAATTCCATGTTGTACGAGTCACTTAGATTTTACAATTACTTGTGCCGATTTTACAAATACTGTGAATGGCTCACATATTTGTAAAATCTAAGTGACTCGTACAACATGGAATTCATATAAAATGGAATTATCAACAGTGTTACGGGGGCCTACTGTATATTGCACATCTGTTATGATCTCCTTTAAATAAAAATTTATGAAAGATTATCACTTCTAATGCATTACTATTATTATAAACCCTTTTATATTACAAAAATATGTGAATTTTTTCAAAATTTTAATGTTAATTATTGTATAAATTCCAGATAAGTTTTGTACTTATTGCTATGCTTATTTCAAATGTAAGAGAGAATCATACTGAAACTTCACTCATTACTCTTATATAATTCCACAGCAAAAGTATATTAATAAGAATATACTTGTAAAATTAATAAAAACTTCACAAATATGAAATGGCAAACAAAATTTAAAGAAAACATTTTGAACAATGCCGTATCCTTCAAAAAAATTCAAGAATTTAACAAATTTTTCAAGGAACTTAATATATATTGTTAATATTTTTATTTAAATCATATCATATTCAGCAATAAACAGATGAAAACATGTGCTAACATTTTTAAACAATAAATGTAATTATTAAATTGAATTAGTCAAAATTCTTAAACAAAATTTGATCAATTCTGCATAACAGTAACACACCATCCGACCAAATTAATTCATACGGCACGTAATAGGTACCAGTCGACCCCCCTATAACACTGTTGATTATTCCGTTTTATATGAATTCCATGTTGTACGAATCACTTAGATTTTACAAATACATGAACCGTTCACAGCCCGGCACACGTATTCATAAAATCTAAGTGACTCGTACAACATGGAATTCATATAAAATGGAATAATAAACAGTGTTATAGGGGGGGTCAACTGGGATACGTAAAAGTAAAATAGTACACAATTCATTCTCCAAAATATTTTCATAACCTACACGTACAAAAATACAATTACTTGGGATGTCAAATGCGATATTTATTTCCGACACACCGGCGGGATCAAAGCCACGCTTGCAAAACAAAAATGCCGATACCACAGGTAAGCAATTCGAACGACACAGAACACGTAACAAATGCATCCAGAATAGGATAATTAGAAATCAAGTTAACGGCCAGATTATAAGCCAAACAAAACAAACCCGCCAAAGTTTCGTCCGAAAACGCTCTCCGACGGAGTCGAGGGCGCCGTTTCTCCGGACGGGTCGAACTTCGAGACCAATTTCGTTTCTCCAAAATTGATCGTAAACATCCGCAAGTATTCAACTGTAAAGTTTGGTTCAATTTGTAAACTGTTAATGTGGAAATTGAATATTTGATGTTTTGGATTACTGATTTTTGTATTTTTTATACATTTAAGATACATTTAATACTTAAAAATATGTATAAATGAACATATGGGTGTATAAAACTTAGTTTTTGTAACATGTTAAGTTGTTTTTTTTGTTTTTTTATAGCATTCCTTATATCTTATAATGTAAAATGTGTCACAGTCAGTCGATACTTCGACGTAAAATCTTTAAAATTATTAAATAAAATTGATAATAATTTAAGAAGAAATTACAACGTATAAAAAAAATGTATTAAATAAATTTTGTAAAAATGAAATCTTACCTTAATAAAACCAACAAAGAGGGAATCCGTGGACACAAACGGCACGGTAACATATAAATATCATAATAAAATACAATATTATCAAACATCGACTGGATAAAACACATAATTCTAAAAGAAAAAAATGCTTAAAAAATGTCTAAAATCAACCCTTTACTAAACGTCAGCCACGTAACAACGGGTGTTGCCAAGGTTACTAACCTCTGCCGGCACAGCAGCGCCGCCACTACGGCTTGCCAGTGACGTCACGGCACCCGAGGTCAGGGACGACGGACAGGTGTTGCGCAACCGAAAGCGATTTCTTTTTTTTTATTTTATTTTAAATGCATCGACACCGTCCACTACTTTTATTATTTCTCTTTTATTATTAACCCTTTCCGAAATCTCTCGTATAATTAATTTTCACTCCGGATCTAGGAAATTATCTTGGCATCTGAATGAAAAAAAAAACACTAAACTTTTGCCAAACATCCCTCCCTTCGAGGTGAAAATCTCGTCCGGGGACTAAAAATATTCTAGTTTTTATTCGATTATATTAAACTTTCTTCCGTTTTATAACATTTAGAACCGAGAGATTTCCCATATCGAACAAGCCACGTATTTAATTTAACGATAATGTCCGTTCTTAAGGGTCGGTCACGTGACCGCGCCTGGTCAGTGATCCCGCAGCCGTTTAAGATCCCCGTCACGTGACCGACGTCTATCCGGTCAATCCACATCCAAATTGGTCAGGTGACCACCGATTTTCAATTTTTCTTTCGTTCTTTTTTTTATTATTATTATTGTTATTTTTTCGATGTTCCGATATAGAGAAGGATGTTATAAATAATTCATATGGCAGCAAACTGTCGATAAAGTGAATTATCACCAAAAAAAAAAAAATATTTTCATTTTTGTACAAAATAGAAGCAAAAAAATAAAAATATTCTCGGAAAAGAAAAAGGTTTATTTATTTATTTCTCAACGTTCTTCGAGTTTTTATATTTTGGAAGAAGTTTAGTATTCACTTCCTGTGCCAATAATCTACCAATCATTTCGCTGATTACAAATATTCAAATGATGTCATTATCCTAGCGACGCGAACGGTCGCGACGTCGCGCGCGCCGATAATGATCTTAATTTAAAAAATTCAAAAAAGGTATGGAAAATTTCGTTAAATTCACTACTTATATTTCTAAAAATTGGTAAATTTTTAACTCAAATAAGAAAACTTTTTACGAATTACATAATCAAAAATTTTTCACGCTTTATTTTGTATACGTCGCGTACTGTACGTTAGCCATTAGATAAAGTATGTAAGCGTTTTATTTGCTAATTGTATTTTATAATGGTTTTCTAATCAAAGAGTTATAAAATCGATAAGATTATTAATACTTAAACCGCCTAAATATCGAGTTATAATTATCTTAGACTTATATTTAACGTAGCTACGCTCCACGCGAAGCGACGCGGCGCGTAGTTACACTATTATAACGCGCGAGATCACGTGGTTTACAGATAAAGTCATTGTCTGCGTACCACGTGATTTCACGACGATTTTGACCTAGGTAAACATTATATAAATATATTGTCTTCTATTTTGTTCGAAAAAACATTTATTTACGGAGTAAACAATAACAATAAACCGATTTAGAGGTAGAATAAATACTCTAACCCCAAAAAAACAACTTAAATTTATATAAGTTCGGAATATATACATACGAATATGCATATAAATTAAGTATAAGATTTCTTTATTTGTAATAAACTCTTAAAATAGGAAAATACAAAGTTATTAAACCTGAAACACTTGTAAAACATAGTCGATTATTTTTAAAAGTCATTTGCATACAGACTGTGTGGCATGTCGTAACCATTTAAGTACTTATAAAGATAGGAACTTATTATTATTTATATTATAAATTAGAAAAATAAACAAAATCGAGTAAAACAAACATAAAATCGGCAATAAAACGGTAAGTATAGGCTACATGAGTGCAATTAATTGATTACATAAATCACACGCTCCTTTTTTTTTTGTCCTTATCTCTCGTCGTCGATTCTCATTTTGATATATTTTTTTCTGACAACTTTTCTTTCTAAATTTATAAAATGTTTTTTTTTTTAATTAGATCGGATAGGAAATCGTTGAGACAAGTCTAAGACACCGCACTATTATTACTGGAAGTAAAGTTACTTATTGTGTCATTAAGATGTAGTTTCAATGTATACACTTCGTTACGTGTATTTAAATTATCGCTAAAAACAGAATCGGTAGCCTTTACTCTTAAATTATATAAGATAGTGAGTCCCCATATGGTACCGTGGATTCAACCAAACGGTACCTTTCGATTCCGAATCAGCTGTTCGATCAGTTGTTTCTAAACAGTTGAAGTCGGATCGTCATCCGAAACAAAACCGTCCTATAATTATCTTAAGGTAAGTGACACTTCGTATCATTACCTTTTGTTAATATTGAAGTTGATGTAATAATTGAATATTGTAGGTTTATTAGTCTATTTTAACATACAACTATTGTTTTTATAGTGTTTTAGTTGCACCTCATCACAGTAGTAGTGTGTATAGGATATATTGATGAACAGGAGGGCTGTAAATTATTAAGAAAACGTATTTTTATTATTAGGATCTATTATTATTGTTGTTGTTGTTATTAATAATTTTAAATATCAAAATCAATATCAATTATTGAACCTTCTATTTCAGAAGATTCCTGTTATTCCGAAGAGAGTTAAGTGAGAAGATCTAAACCTGGAGATTGGTCTTGAAGAAGGTTTGAATTTTAATTCATAGCATTAACTAAAGCACTAGTTTGTCTTTGATTGAATAAAAAAGATTTTTGTCACTTCCACGCATTTGTTTTTCATGGGCTTTATTAGGAACACTGTGTTCCCAATACGGCCCGCTTGTCACTTTTCACTTTTACATGACAGTCATGGGAACTAGGTATGTTTTTTAGTTGCCCAATTAGCCTCTCTAGGTGATATATTAGTCACTTGGAAAGAAATTTGAGTTGGTCAAAATATAATTGGGTCCAATTGGGCCCCTATCTTACTGAGCTGTAACCTTGCAATGTCAACTTCAACAACCAAAAAAAAAAGAAGATCCATTCGAAATTGCAGCAGAAATTATAATAATTAAGTAACATTAAAGTCTTTATAGCAAGTTGCGATTTTAGGTATGGGCAAATTAAGCTTTTGCTCAGAAACTGGAGTCCAGACACGCACAAATATACGCTAGTCTATACTCAGATTTAGTTCAATGTGAATAATTAATAAACTCGAAAATATATAAAGGTTATTCTGAACATTTTAATCATTATTAAGCATCTTGCTTATCTTCTTAAAAAATTAACAAGAGAAATAAAATCGTAGAAAGGAAAGAGGCGGTGAGAGTTATTGGTTCTTTAACAAGCGACAACTACTTTATAACAATAAACAAGCATTCGTGTTTATTAAGGCGAATCAATGATAGCCTTACTAACCTAATTATTAAACAATAAAAAAATCGGTTATAGTCATTATAATTGTTTATAATTCAGTTTTCTATTTCTGAATGCTCTAATAGATCTTAATAGCTACGTAAATATTTGAAGTATAAAGCAATAATTACCTTTAACGACTGTAATTTCAGTCATTACTTCATTGTACAATATACATAAAATGCAATTGGATCAAATTAGTATTAAGTTTACGATGCGTTAATCTTACGATTATTTAACTAGAGAGGCCAACGCGAATTTCGAGTCGACCCCCCTATAACACTGTTGATAATTCCGTTTTATATGAATTCCATGTTGTACGAGTCACTTAGATTTTACAAATACGTGTGTGAGCCATTCACAGCTCGGTACACGTATTTGTAAAATCTAAGTGACTCGTACAACATGGAATTCATATAAAACGGAAT